CCTTAAAAACCCCCAACCTCTGAGGGTGCTGGGTTGGGTTGTTCCTTTGAGGTCAGCAGCTCTTTGCTAGCCTGTTTGGACACAGTACCCCAGCTCCACCAAGTAGAGAGGAAAGACCAAAATGCTATAAATCAAACCAAAACAAGCAAACAGAAAACTTTATGGGATAAAATTGGGCAAAAACCCAAATAATAGGGGTAGAAACACTAGCAGAAATGAAGTTGTAATTGTTAAAAAAAAATGGCAACAATGGAAAATTATAATTAAACTAGAAAAATGAAGAAAGAAAAATCTATAGGAAGAATGTTGAAATTAAAAAACAAAACAAAACCCAAACAAACAACCCCCCCAACCCAAAGCAGTATATTTATCTTGCTGAATATTGTCAGAGCAACAGGTGATCTTCTGGGGTATAAGATGTTAATCACAATGCTGATGTGGCTGTACGAGTTGGAGACTGGAGGCCTCTGCTGATTTCTCAAACCATGCAGGGTGGAGAGCCTAAATCTCACCTCAGCCCACTTGAAAGGCACTTTAAACTGCCAACCTGGGCTAAGCAAAAGCTTTCCTGGGAAAGCACCTGTGGCTGGGATCACTCCTGAAGCGGCTTTCCACTTACTCAGTGTGCCAAAACCAATCTCACACTATGCCCCTGAAGGGCAAGGCTGTAAGGCGTCTCAGTCCCTTCCTTTAGGCTCAGTCACTAGATTAATAGGTCCTGCTTGATTCTTGCTCTGCGACCCTGAGGGCAGAACTTGCTGGGGCATTTCTTCCACTTTGGCTCCGTCTGGCTCAGCGGCTCAGTCTGGGGCCCTAGACAATGCTTAAAGTCCTCCGCTCTCTTGCCCAAGTTCTCCCAAGGTAGTTAAATTGAGTGCCAAGTCCAAAAAAAAACCCCAAACAGCTCACGGGTGAGGCCTTTCCAGTTTGCAATCTCACTGCTGCTGAATTTACATCTGCCAGCGGGATTAGACCCAACAAACACATGCAAACACTTGCCAGTTCTCCACTGCTTTTGTTCTCCTTACAGGGTTCAGAAGTCCCTTGCTGGTTCCCTGTGTCTCTGAAGGTACGTTTCTGGGCAGATTCCACCGGCCAGAGATGCCTAAAGTCTCCTCTCCCCAGACTCACCGTGCCCAGTTGCAAGGAAGCTGTTACTCGGCCACCATCTTGCTCCTCATAAAGCACTTTTTTATTGAAGGAGCATTAAACCAGAAACAGATATGCATCATGGGTGATTTGCTAAGAGATTGGAAAAACAGAAATAAACTAATAAGCAGATGCAGCCCGTTACACACATTTTCAACATAATCAGTAGTTTTGAGTCTAAGAGGAATCGATGGCACCATTTATCACACATAGTTGATGCCAGCTTTACCTGGTAATTGGGGTGACCATCTGTAATAGCTAATTGGCTTTGTCCAGAGAATAAACAAACTTATCTTTATGACTGGCAGTTGTTTTGTACCTTGGAGCTAGGCACCTGTGGAAGTTCGGCTCCTACCCTCCCATAGAAACTGGGAGATAGGGATGCTATTTTCATCTCTCTGTTTACATTCCAAAGAGGTAGCTCCCAGGTCCTTGGGGATGACATTCCTGGTGTGATTTAAAGCTGACAAAGGTCTATCTAGTCTTTAAAAGGACCATATATATTTAAAAGAAGAGGAAAGTGCTTGCAGTTACAAATTTTTAAAGAAGGAGAGAAGTCTATAGCTCAACCAGCTAAGGCGCCAGCCACGTACACCTAAGGTGGCGGGTTTGAATCCCCAGCCCGGACCCGCCAAACAACAATGATGGCTGCAACCAAAAAATAGCTGGGCATTGTGGCGGGCGCCTGTGGTCCCAGCTACTTCGGAGGCGGAGGCAGGAGACTCGCTTGAGCCCAGGAGTTGGAGGTTGCTGTGAGCTGTAATGCCACGGCACTCTACCCAGGGGGACAGTTTGAGGCTCTGTCTCAAAAAAAAAAAAAAAAAAAAAAAAAGAAGGAGAGAAGTGACTTCTGTTTTCAACTGGGAGGATTAAAACTTTTATTTTAAATTTGTATTTGTTGTCATGCGATTACCTCTCTGATGTTTGTCTGGTTTTCTTTCCTACTTCAGGTATGATTCCAAAAGCCATGTGCATTTCACTCAGCTAAAAGCTGTCAGCATTAGATTTCGTTATACATGACAGAAAAAGCACTGTCTTTAACCTGCTCCCAGAGAAACCTCTAAGGACAGAGAAAAGGACTGAGAGCAAAAATACTTAATATGTTAAGTGCGTATGTGTTTGGCATTTGAATATTGCCAATATTTGAATATTGATGAGTTTTTTTGTGTGTGTACAATTACATCCCTCTTATGTTTAAAAATGATGTGCTAGTGGTGGCAGGATTGGGCCTCTGTGCTGTCTTCCAAAACGCTAGCTTTGCCTGCCAGCTGTGTGGTGTGCTATCTTTGCGTTAAAGCCGGGTGTTGATAGTAGGGCACAGGACAGGGCAAAGTGCATAAACTTTGATAGGGCTCCAGATTCTTCCTGCTGGTTTGATGTTGACTCATTAATCAGTGTTCTGACTCCTTCTGTTGTGATTCCACCTTCTGTTGATTTCCTGTTTCCAGACAGACTTCACTCTTCCTAGTGAGATGTGGTGTGATCACTGGTGAATGTCCTTGTGGCTGTAGGGGCTAGAGTCTTTGAAATCATCACTGTTGTGATCAGTCAGCAGATCTCTGTATTTTGTTTTCCCTTCTGGAGGAACACAAGGAGAGGAAGAGTGGGAATTTAGCATTTCTGGTTTTTTTTTGTCTGTTGTCTTATGCTCTTTTGTCTAAGCATTTAATCATAAAAACATGGATTTTCCTCCCAAGTGTATATATTTTAACTTACTAATGTTTTTCCTGATTACGAAAGTAATGTATTCTTATGAAACACATTTTGGGAAGCATTTTGTAAAAAGTAAAAATCATCTGCCTGTATTACTAGGTTGAACTTTATGAAACATTGTTCCTGTAGGTAAAAGTGGTTGAATTTCAGCAGTTTCATGGTTGAACCTAATCCATAGGTTTGGAAAAGCTTGTTGCTTGGTTGGTGCTGCCCTTGGGATGAAAAAAGAATTTATCTAGGCCAAGATTAGAATATAAAGGATAAATTTATTTTTATGTTAGAGGGAAGAGAGTGGTGGTGGGTATGAGAGTGGAACAAGTTGAAGGCGGGGCATGCAAAGAAAGGAAGGGTGCTTGCTTGGAGGTCAGGGGGATGGCTGAATTTAAGAGGGAAAAGATAATCGCAGCGCAGTTCACAGGTGTTGTGAATCTGAATGCTGTGCGTGTTTTTTCCTCGGGCAAGGTTGAAGACAAACCTTTTCCCCGGTGTTCCTAATCCTGAAACCTGGTTGTTCGTATTCGATTGTTCGTCTATCTGGGACACTCTGGAATCACTTGAGGCTTAAAGGAACATTTAAAAGACAAAGGAGCTGGGGAAATGCAAGGAGAAAGAATTCACATTTCTTTTTGGTCTGTTGGGTTCCTCATGGGTTTGTGAAAACAGAAATCCGCAGAGGTAGGGCAGGAGCTGCCAGCAAGAGAAAGAGAACAGGCAGAGAGATTTTAGTCCTTACTGAGTTACTGAGTTAGTAATTTTTTTTTATTATTTCACTATAAACGTGACCATCCTTACTTACACTAATATTTCACCAAGTGGCTGAATCCTTATTTATGTTCCTAACACTGAATATTTAGATTGTTTCCAGTTTTTAATTTATATATACAACGTAGTGATGAACATATTTATATATAATCTTTACCTGAGTTCCAATTATTTGTTTACATTTATTCCTAGAAGACAAATCGCTCTTCAGGTTAGAAGGTGCTTTTCTTTCACTGCTGTGCTGTCCCTTTATATTTGCCCTTTCAAAATCCAAGCAAACAAAAGCAATTTGCTTTCTTTAAAAAAATTACAGTGGTAATTCATTGATGCATTTTAAGGGTAAATTTCAAACAATACACTTGATTTCTAACCACCACCACCACCACCAGCCCCCCGAGAACATGAGTATGTGACTTGTCATCTGTGTATAGCATAGCCGCAAGGTTAGGCTGGTGTTTCTGGTGGCTTTGCTCAGTGCTCTTGGGGCAGAGTTTCCAGATTGGCACCAACTGCTCATACTAAATCCAGATTTTCATTTCTTTCAAAGCAGATATTTGCTGTTGGTTTGTTTTGAAGATAATCCTAATTTTCCCAGTTCTTCAGTGAAGTGCTGACTTCCTGCTTTGAATTCTGCTAGCCCTCTGCTAGCCACTGTTCATAGTGTATCTAGTAATGCTAAACACTGACTTTTAAGCCTTACTACGTACTTTACTAACTCCCAACTGCTTTATACACCTTTGATTTTTATTTGTTTATTTATTTTGAGACAGAGCCTCAAGCTGTCCCCCTGAGTAGAGTGCCGTGGCATTACAGCTCACAGCAACCTCCAACTCCTGGACTCAAGCGATTCTCCTGCCTCCGCCTCCCAAGTAGCTGGGACCACAGGCGCCCGCCACAACGCCCGGCTATTTTTTGGTTGCAGCCGTCGTTGTTTTGGCAGGTCTGGGCTGGGGATTTGAACCCACCACCTTAGGTGTACGTGGCTGGCACCTTAGCCGGTTGCGCCATAGGCGCCAAGCCACACCTTTGATTTTTAAAAGAGCCCTCAGGGGAAGCATTGTTACTGCCTGTTGGTTTGGGTAACCTGCTCACAGCTCCCCACTGTCCTGATACCAAAACCTGTGCTTTCACCACTGTGGCCTTACTTGCTCTGAATACATCATTTTACCCGTCAGCTCATATTCCTAAGTGTATGTTTTGGAAACCTGTGCACAATCATTTCAGCAGCCAGAGATGTCCTTTTTATGATTTTTGAACTGAAGAAAAAGTGACTTCCTGGTTAGATGGACTCACTGCGCTATTATGGTACTGGTTCATTTGAATCTGGCTTTCTGTTTTTTGAAACTATGTGGGTGTTTTTTGGTCTTGTTTTCTAGGTCCAAAAGCTGCTTTGCATGTGCCCAGTGGATTTCCATGGGATCTTCCAGTTAGATGAGAGACGGAGGGATGCAGTAATCGCGTTGGGCATTTTTCTCATTGAATCTGATCTTCAGGTAAGTTTTCACCAAATTAAAAGTTTCTGCCGTGTAAAAGAGGGTACAATGAGAATTTTATTGTGTATCTGCTTATGGTTACCTAAAACATTAGTAGAAATAATAAATCTGAACCTAATCAAAGTGGTGAAGGAGGATAAGATAGGGTGGATGCAACAGGTGGGAACGAGACCTCTTAATATACCCTCATAAGAAATTTAGGTTTTTTGAACTGTGTCACTGTATTATGTTTTTTAAAAAAATAAAGCAGGTTTGGTCTTTTCTTCTTTCGCCAGAAACTAAATTAAAATGCTTTGAGAAGTAATTATGTGCCCCTCAGAGTAGGCTTGGTTTTCAGCCTCAAGTAAACCGCCAATCAATCATTTTCAAAGTTACAATTTATTTTCTTTCCAGAAGGATAAACGCATTTGAGGTGGTTTTAGTATAAGATCATATTTTTTAAAACTGTAATACATAAAAATTAAGTTTTAGAGTACATGCTGGTATACCTTTTATTAGGGATTTAAAAACTTAACATCGCCAGACATGGTGGTTCAGACCTATAATCTAGCATTTTGGGAGGCTGAGACTGGAGGATCACTCCTTGAAGTCAGCAGTTTGAAACTAGCTCAGGCAATGTACCAAGACCCTATCCCTAAAAAAAAAAAAAAAAGAAAGAAAGAAAAAAAAAATAGTTAGGTGTGATGGTGTTTACCTGTAGTCCCAGCTACTTGGGAGGCTGAGGTAGGAGAGTCACTTTAGCTCAGGAGATTGAATCTGCATTGAGCTGTGATGAGGCCACTGTACTCTAGCTGGAGTGACAAAGCAAGAACCTGTATCAAACCACAACAACAAAGAGGCAGACCCAATGCAGTGGCTCACACCTGTAATCCCAGCACTAGGGAGGCTGAGGCAGGTGGATTGCCTAAGCTCACAGGTTGAGACCAGCCTGAGCCAGAGTGAGAGTCCCCCCACCCCGCCCCACCCCCGGCATTGTGGCAGGTGCCTGTAGTCCTAGCTGCTTAGGAGGTTGAGGCAAGAGAATCACTTGAGCCCAAGAGTTTGAGGTTGCTGTGAGCTATGACACCACGGCACTCTACCCAGGATGACAAGGTGAGACTCTGTCTTAAAAAAAAAAAAAAAAAAAGGAAAGAAAGAGGGCAAAGATCATGAGCAACAAAAGAGTGTTAGCCAGTCGAGCAGCTTCTATGTATTGTGAGCTTTTCTCCTGTCCCCATGGGCTCTCTTAACTCTTCTCACTGAAGGAGGTTTTAAGTGTATATAGGCTAGTACTTTTTGGAGAGGCCTGCACAGGGGTGCAGCTCCCAGAGGAGGCCTGAGCAAACTGGTCCCTTACCAGAAGTTGGTGCAGGTTGATATTATAGCCTCTAGACCAGGCGTCCTCAAACTATAGCCCACCGACCACATGTGACCCGCCTAGGCCATTTATTTGGCCTACCAGGTGTTTTTGCCGCCACTGTCTGTCCTGCTTAGCAGCCGACTCATCCCGGGGCCTGCAGTCCAGCCCTCCAATGGTCTAAGGGACAGTGAACTGGCCCCCTGTTTAAAAAGTTTGAGGACCCCTGCTCTAGACCATGTGGAAATGGGAAGGGAGTGATGCCTTGTGAACATGGTTATGGTTTGCTTTGGGTTTATTCTGGGATAGAAAGCTACCAGTCACTTATCTTATGAAATGTGATGTATTTTTTTTTTTTTTTTTTTAAAGCACAAAGACTCTGTGGTTCCTTACCTTCTTCGACTCCTCAAAGGTCTTCCAAAAGTGTATTGGGTAGAAGAAAGCACAGCTCGGAAAGGCAGAGGTAATTTTGTATAATGTTTTCCCCGAATGCAAGGAAAGATATGTATGTTCAGTGTCTGTAAGGATCAAGTATTTATTCATACTGACACATTAATTAGGATGCTTCTACCCTATAGTCCCAGCTACTTGGGAGGCTGAGGCAGGAGGGTCACTTGAGCCCAGTAGTTTGAGCACAGCACTCTACTCAGAGCAACAGAATGAGACTGTCTCAAAAAAAAAAACACACACACACAAAAAAAAACCCAAAAAAGCATGCTTCTAGCTGGCCCTTTCCTGGCCTTGGAACAACTAACCGCCTGGAGCAATGTAGCCTGAGCTTGCTACTGTTGTCAGAGAGAACAAGAACTTTAAGAAATTAGGCCCTGGCTCGGCGCCGCCTATAGCTCAACCGGCTAAGGCGCCAGCCACGTACACTTAAGGTGGCGGGTTCGAATCCCCAGCCTGGACCCGCCAAACAACAATGATGGCTGCAACCAAAAAATAGCCGGGCGTTGTGGCGGGCGCCTGTGGTCCCAGCTACTTGGGAGGCGGAGGCAGGAGACTCGCTTGAGCCCAGGAGTTGGAGGTTGCTGTGAGCTGTAATGCCACGGCACTCTGCCCAGGGGGACAGCTTGAGGCTCTGTCTCAGGAAAAAAAAAAAAAAAGAAATTAGGCCCTTTTTTCATGTCTTCTTGGCCAGAATTGGGTCACCTACCCATGACCAAACCAGTCATTATTACCTTAGATTAATAGGCTCACTCCTGGAGTGAGGTCATTTCTCCAGATTACATAGCTGCTGCTTAAAACAGGTGAGAAAGATGCTGGAGACTCAGCCAGCTCACTGTGACTAAGTTTTAGTTAAACTTTCCATCTTTGTAAATGGAATAACTTTATGTGTATTTCTTTTAAACTTGTATTTAATTTAACTTAATGAGTTATTTTAGAGGCGGAGTCTTGGCCATGTTGCCCAGGCTGTGTATTTTATTTTCTCTTTGGTGTCAAGGAAATGTTAGTCTTTGCCTCTCCTTCCCTCCACTGCCCTTCTTCCCCTTCTTCCCAATTTGCCTTCTTTCTCTCCCTTTCAAAATATTTACATAGGTCCACTGTGTACCAAGCACAGTACCAAACACTTGGACTGCTGATGTTCTTGTATACTGATCTCCCAGGGCACCGAAATCAGTTCAGATGTCTAACAGTTTTAGGATTCATGACCCACAAGATCAAAGGTTTTTTTTTTTTTTTTTGAGACAGAATCTGACTTTGTCGCCCTCAGTAGAGTGCTGTGACATCACAGCTCACAGTAACCTCAAACTCTTGGGCTCTCTTGCCTCAGCCTCCCAAGTAGCTGGGATTACAGGCGCTACCACAATGCCCAGCTATTTTTTGTTGTTGTTGTTGCAGTTGTCATCGTTTAGCAGGCCGAGGGTGGGTTTGAACCCACCTGCTTCGGTGTATGTGGCCGTCACTGTAACCACTGTGCTATGGGTGCCAAGCTGAGGTCAAAGTTTTTTTTGTAATTTATGTCTCTGAGGCCTCAGGCCCTCCCTTGGATATAGCTGGAGGTGGGTACATGTAAAGAAGACCCTTGTCTTTTTTGTTGGTAGCATGGCCCTCATTTGTTAGGTGGGCTCAGTCTGCTAAACATAGGTTTTGTTGTTCTCGTTCATATTCTGCTTGTGCATATATTACTGTTGACCTTTGGGTGACATACGATGCCTGAGAGATCCCACATGATACCTGTGTCTTGCAATCTAGAGGACTACAAATCAGATAGGTCCTTGTTACTGGACATCAAACATCTGTGTCTACCCCTGTGTTTTCTACCTTTGGGGAGAAGTATGTCAGCCAGCGTTAATGCTATTATCTTTCTTTTTTTTTTTTTAATTTTAAAACAAGATCAATTCTATGTATGTGGATTCATATTGGAATGAATTTCAGTATTATTTGAAACATCCCATGTTTTCCATTATTGGGTAGCAATTTACTTTTTAAAAAAAATTAAGGCATCATTTGTGGTTTTAAACTCTAGAGCAGTGGTTCTCAACCTGTGGGTTACAACCCCTTTTAACTGTATTAAAGGTTGGCCGCTTTAGGAAGGTTGAGAACCACTACTCTAGAGAAATAGTTCTTCAGGGGTAATCCCTGGACCAGCAGCATCTAGTCACCCAAGAACTTGTCAGAAATACAAATAATCAGTCCACACGTCAGAACCACTGAACTAGAAAATCTGTATTTTAACAAGCCCTCCAGGTAATTCTGATGTACCTCAATTTTGAGCTTGACCTAGAACAACATTTTAAAATTACAAGCCCAAGAGTAGAAATGTAACCATCTTCTGTCAGGTATTATGATGTCCCTAAATAGTGGATAGTCTTACGTTCTTGATTCTACATTCAGTATTCAAACTTGATTACATGTGTAATTGGGATTGAACCAGACAGCAGTGCTTCCAACATTAAAGGTGTCCCGATAGCTGTGCTTCTGTGTTTTGGTCTGTAAGGTACAGCATTCCCTCCCGCCCTTGAGGGCCATGTACCTCAGAACCTCCCTGTTAGGAAGCTTAGCAATGGAAGAAGTGCAAGTTGGAAAGGTTATAGGGAATAGAGCAAATCTCTGAAAGCTCTTACTAGGAATTTTTCCATTTGACACAAGAAAACACTTTATTCAATTTAAAGTAGTGGTTCAGACAGAATGGACCTAAGGAAAGGAAAAAAACAAGTAATAAGTATTTGACAGCTCCCGTGTGAACTATCACTTACACTCTATCGAGAGTGATTTCTCACTTTTATTTAGGCAGGGAATAAAAAAAAATGGAATCAGTCATGTTGAGAGACTCTGTAACCTCAAACTATAAATTGTCTCAGGAAACGTTTAAGTTAACATAAGTATGTGAGTTTATTGAACCAAAAGGTTTACTTAAAAGAAAGGTGGGGTGGCTAGGTGTGGTGGCTCATGTTTGTAATCCCAGCACTCTGGGAAATCAAGGCAGGTGGATTGCCTGAGCTCAGGAGTTTGAGACCAGCCTGAGCAAAAGTGAAATTCAGGCTTTAAAAAACTACCTGAGCACTGTGGTAGGTGCCTATGGTCCCAGCTACTTGGGAGGCTGAGGTAAGGGGGTCACTTAAGCCCAAGAGGTTGTTTTTTGTTTTGTTTTGTTTTTTAGACAGTCTCATTATATGGCACTCAGTAGAGTGCTGTGGCGTCACAGCTCACAGCAACCTCAAACTCCTGGGCTTAAGCAATTCTCTTGCCTTAGCCTCCCAGTAGCTGGGACTACAGTTGCCCACCGTAACACACGGCTATTTTTTGTTGTAGTTGTCATTGTTGGGCTGGGTTTGAACCTGCCAGCCTTGGTGTACGGGGCTGGCGCTGTAACCTCTGTGCTATGGGCGCTGAGCTGAGCCCAAGAGTTTGAGGTTGCTGTGAGCTATAATGCCATGGCACTCTAGCCAGGGCAACAAAATGAGACTCTGTCTCAAAAAAAAAAAAAAAGGTGGGTATTTCTCAGCAAACGTACTAAACTCATCTCACTGAGACTCACCTCAGTGGCAGGCCCTTTGAGAGAAGAAGTATACTGAATTGGGTGACCAGGCTTCTCATTTCTTTTCTTTTTTTTTTGTTTTGAGACAGAATCTCACTATATTGCCCTCAGTAAAGTGCGATGGCATCATAGCTCACAGCAAACTCAAACGGTTGGGCTCAAGCGATTGTCCTGCCTCAGTCTCCCAAGTGGCTGGGACTACAGGTGCCTGCCACAGCACCTGGCTATTTTTTTGTTGTAGTTGTCATTGTTTTTTTTTTTTAAAGAGAGACAGAGTCTCCCTTTGTCGCCCTTGGTAGAGTACTGTGGAGTCACAGTTCACAGCAACCTTCAACTCTTGGGCTTAGATGATTCTCTTGCCTCAGCCTTCTGAGTAGCTGGGAATAGAGGCTCCTGCCAAAACACCTGGCTATTTTTTTTGTTGTTGTAGTTTGGCCAACCCTCCACACTCCATATATGGGGCCGGTGCCTACTCACTGAGCTACAGGCACTGCCCCAGTGTAGTTGTCATTGTTGTTTGGCAGGCCCAGGCTGGATTCAAACCCCCCAGGTCCAGTGTATGTGGCTGGCGTCCTAGTTGCTGAGCTGTAGTCTCTGAGCCAGTCTTCTCATTTCTAATGATGTGGTTTGTATCTTCACGTCTTTTAGGTGCCCTCCCAGTTGCAGAGAGCTTTAGCTTCTGCTTGGTAACTTTGCTGTCTGATGTGGCTTATAGAGATCCTTCACTTAGGGACGAGGTAAGCATGCAGTGACTGGCTGTGCATTTCTGTTAGATGGAACGAGTCTCAAAGGGATGAAAAGAGTTTTAAAAAATAGCTGAAGTGTGATTGGACTGTTTTTGTTGATTTATTTCATACTATTAATAGCAGAGTTAAGAAATGTTGAATAATATTTATAGTACTTTTCACCTTATAGTGCTCTTTGGGATCTCTCGAGTCTTACATCATTCAACTTTTCCAAAAGCTCTGTGACATAGGCAGAAAAAGGCAGAGGCTCATTTTTCTTAATCTAGCTTAGGGGTTGAAGTCATTAGTGGAAGAGAATTTTCTGGGTAACAGAAGCTTTTACCTTTAAGTCCCCAGTCTGTTTTAGATTTCATTAACTAATTTTGATTAATTAATTACTTTTCTGAGATAGAGTCTCACTGTGTCACCTCAGTAGGGTACCGTAGCATCACAGTTCATAGCAACCTCAAACTTGGGCTTAAGTGATTCTCGTGCCTCAGCCTCCCACGTAGCTGAGACTATAGGCGCCTGCCATAGCACTCAGCTATTTTTTTGTTGTAGTTGTTGTTTAGTAGGCCCAGGCTGGGTTGTATGTGACTGGTGCCCTAACCACTGGGCTATGGGCACTGAGCCCTAATTTTAGTTTTATTAGAAATGCTACTAACACATATTTCATGCTTCCTTCTTTTTTTCCCCCATGCTTTCTCCTTTTTTAAACAAAGAATACAATTGTGATGTAAAATTTTTCTTGATCAGATTAATAATTTAGAACATCAGTTTTTAGGCTGGGCATGGTGGCCCACACCTATAATCCTAGCCCTCTAGGATGCCAAGGCGGGTGGATTGCCTGAGCTCACAGGTTTGAGACCAGCCTGAGCAAGAGCAAGACTTGGCCTCTAAAAATTAGACAGGTGTTGTGGCTAGTGCCTATAGTCCCAGCTACTTGAGAGGCTGAGGCAAGAGGATTACTTGAACCCCAGAGTTTGAGGTTGCTGTGAGCTGTGATGCCACTGCACTGTATCCAGGGTGACAGAGTGAGACTCTGTCTCAAAAAAAAGAACATCAGTTTTGTGTGTGTGTGTGTTTTTTTTTTTTTTGAGGCGGGGGACAGAGCCTCAAGCTATCCCCCTGGGTAAAGTGCTGTGGCATCACAGCTCACAGCAACCTCCAACTCCTGGGCTCAAGTAAGTCTCCTGCCTCAGCCTCCCAAGTAGCTGGGACCACAGGCGCCCACCACAATGCCCGGCTATTTTTTGGTTGCAGCCATCATTGTTGTTTTTGGCGGGCCTAGGCTGGAGTCAAACCCGCCACTTTAGGTGTATGTGGCTGGTGCCTTAGCCACTTGAGCCACAGGCGCCGAGCCAGAACATCAGTTTTTATATGCCACTATTCTTAGGCTCTGCCATGGAGGGCCTGTTTGTCTGCATACCAGATTTTCCCAGCTAGAGATGCTTTTTGAATTCTCTCTAATTTAGGTTCTTTGTTTATTTGTAGGTTGGCTAAAGAGATGACTAGATAAGTTAGGGTTATGTGTTTTTGTTTGAAAGGAGACATTAAGGACTTTTCTGTGAATAAAATTTATTTAAAATAAAGAAGAGGTGGCACCTGTGACTCAGTGAGTAGGGCACTGGCTCCATATAACGAGGGTGGTGGGTTCAAACCCAGCCCCGGCCAAACTGCAACAATAAAAAATAGCCGGGTGTTGTGGTGAGCGCCTGTAGTCCCAGCTACTTGGGAGGCTGAGGCAAGAGAATCGCCTGAGCCCAGGAGTTGGAGGTTGCTGTGAGCTGTGTGATGCCACAGCATTCTACCAAGGGCAATAAAGTGAGACTCTGTCTCTAAAAAAAATAAAATAAAATAAAGAAGAGCTGGGCACAGGAGCTCACGCCTGTAATCCCAGTACTGTGGGAAGAGGGAGAATTGCTTGAGCTCAGGAGTACAAGACTTGTCGGAGGGAGAGTGAGACCCCAACTCATAAAAAAATGAAAAAAGGGTGGTGTCTATGGCTTAAGGAGTAGGGCGCTGGCCCCATATAACAAAGGTGGTGGGTTCAAACCCAGCCCTGGCCAAAAAATCTGTAGAAAAAGAAAAATACCCAGCTGGGCGCTGCAGTGATTACCTGTAATCCCAGTGGCTTCTGGAGGGCTGAGGCAGCGGGATGCCCACAGCCCAAGTCTGAGGTTGCAGTGAGCTATGACGCCATTGCACTCTGCGTAGGGCATAGGGTGGGACTCCGTCTTAACAACAACAACAAAAGTAAAAATAAGCAAGGAAAAACAAAAAAAGAAAGTGCTGAAGATAATATTTTATTACGTAAAATGGAAAAAGTATTGCTTTTCAGCCTTTCCTAGGTTATTCAGCATTATTCAACAATAGGAAAATGTACAACTTGGTTATGAACAGGTCACATCAGACCAACTTCATTTTCTTGGCCTGGGTTTTATGAGGCAGGTAGTTGAGAGAAAGGAGGAGGATGTAGTCAAGTTGATCTCCATGAAGGTACTGGCACCTCTTCTGATATCTTAGACCAATTCTGTAGGCTGGGTGCCAAAAAGTTCTGGGGTTTGCAGAACTGCCTGAAGGACCCTTGCAGAGGGGGATGGGTGAGCCTCCAGTGGCTTCCTGTGGCTGGAGCAAAGCAAGCTGGTTCTGTGAATGAAGATGACCTGAGAAAGTAGGAGGAGTTCACCTGTGGAAGGCACAAAGCTGGGGATGGAAGACCAGTACAGTGAGCTAAAGCTAACAGCACAAGCATCTGTAGGGATAAGTGAAAAGTAAAACAGGCCAACTGCATAGGTAGAGGTGGCATGCCTATCCAGTAGAACCTCTGTAAGTTGACAACTCAAGGAAATGTAACAAAGTGTTCAACATAAGGAACAGGGCCTATATGGATACATGTCCAGTCTGTGAAAATTAGGTCAGCTTAAGGTGGCAATGTAGGAAGGCGGTCAGCTATGGAGGTTCTACTGTACTTACAAGTATAGACTCTTGTTATGTTTGGAGGCTACTCTGGGTAAGCTCCAGGTCTGAGCGCCATGCTTCCAGACAGTTGTAGACAGACTAGATTACAATAAAATCAGAGGCAGGCAGTCAGCATCGTAAAGGACTCGTGATCATAAGGAATAAGTTTGAAAAGAACTAAGGGTATTTAGCTATGAAAAGAGAAGATTTGGGGCCTATGATCTGTTTATAGAATGTGGAGGAAAAGTAGCCCCAAGGGCCTGTGAGTACAAGTCCAAGGGGGCAGGCAGCATTGGCCCAGTGTTAGGAGGGAACTCCATGTGAGCCCACAGAGAGGGAGGGTTTATGTCCTTGGAAGATCACCTAGTTGGCTACTTGGCACAGCTATTGTGGAGAGATGGATGAGAAATGGGGTTGGTCAAAGTGATGCATTAGTTTTTGGTCTGATTTTGTTTATGTGCTTATTTGTTTGTTTTGTTTTCTTTCACTATCTTAGATTTTAGAAGCACTTTTGCAGGTTTTGCATGTCCTCTTGGGAATGTGCCAGGCCTTGGAGATTCAAGAAAAAGGTACAGTCATAGATCTTTAAGGCCTTTCTTAAAATGGTTTTGTGGATACTGCTTTCCTTGCTTTTCCCCAGTTGTCTTGTCTGTTCTTTGGTCCCTAATGTGTGTCTTATGGGAAAAATCTTCCTGTATTAGGTTGCATTTGCTGTGTGTTAGTGTGCTAAGAGGTCACAGAGGGTCATGAACTCAGTTCTGCTGTGTGAATCCTGGGTGAACTTCACCTTTCTTTACCACTAACGTGTGTAGGTAGTTTAGTTGGCTTCTGAAGGTCATTTCTCCCTTAGTGTAAGCTTACCAATATGACTCTAGAATGTATAAACATGTTAACGAGGGTCCAGCTGCCTAATAACATGACCTTGCTACGGTATTGATTTGGATATGTTGTGAGTAGATTAAGCCCTCCCAAGGAGAGCACCTGGGTGTGATAGAGTCACAGACTGAAATTGTTCATGACAGGTTGAAAATACCACCAATCAGCCCTTGGGGTTGAAGCTATTACTGTGGCCTTTTCTGAACCTTCATGTTTGTTGGTGGGTTGTGGGTTGTGAAATTTTAGCTAGTGTCTAATTTAGTATGGTTGAGTTCTCTCATAGGTGCTTTCTCACTTTCTGACATTCTCGCTTGGTCTTCTAGAATACCTTTGCAAGTATGCCATCCCATGCCTGATAGGAATCTCACGAGCTTTTGGGCGTTACAGCAGCACGGAAGAGTCTCTCCTTTCAAAGCTCTTTCCCAAAGTTGCTCCTCATTCCCTCCGAGCCCCAGAAGAGCTGGAAGGCACCAGACGGCGTTCCTTCAATGACTTCCGCTCCATCCTCCCCAGCAACCTCCTGACCGTCTGTCAGGAGGGCACCCTGAAGAGGAAAGCCAGCAGTGTGTCCAGCATTGCTCAGGTGGGGCTGGGCTCCTGGGGGAGAGCAGAGCAGAATGACCTCCCTACGCAGCGTGTAAAGAAAATCCTCCTTAGGAGGATTGTTTGTGGGGACTTGAGAAACATGGAAGGTTCTTACTAGAATTCTCTTCACTACAAAGACTTGCTTGTCCCTCTTACAGTTGATAAATGATTTTATAGTCACAAACCATGTGTTCCACAGCACTTGTTACCATAGTCTGTTCTGCATGGAAGACAGTTGGTGCCCTGAAGAAGTATATACAGTAATTAATTCCTGGAGAAAAGATAAAAGCACAGAAAACCAAGAACAGTGCAGCTCAGTAGTTAAATATGAAATACATGGCAAGACAGAGAATTTAACATGTAGTAGAAAATGCTGTAGCCGTGATGGGCTTTAGGGAGGAAATGAGGCATGAACCAGGACTTAAAAAGTAGAGACGTAAGGCAGAGACAACCTTGATTAAGACAAATCTGACTGAAGTCTCACTGGTCTTTACTGATCTCTAACTGTGATTGTATGTTCCAGGTCAGCCCTGAGCGTGGCATGCCCCCTCCCAGCTCCCCTGGAGGATCCACCTTTCACTACTTTGAAGGTGGGCGTCATCTCTCTACCAAGAATATTGACCCCGTACTCAGAGTTGGCTCACAGTGACTTCTTGTGATGTTATTAATAAGAATGTTGCTGCTAATTCTCTCCTGTCACAGATCTAGAGTGGCAAGCTTATAGAAAGCATTTATTTTCTGTTTTCATTTAAATTTTTTAAATTTTTCAATTTTTTTTTTTTTTTTTTGAGACAGAGTCTCTTGTCACTCTGGTTAGAGTGCTGTGGTCTTGGCTCAGCGCCTATAGCTCAACTAGCTAAGGCGCCAGCCACGTACACCTAAGGTGGCGGGTTCGAATCCCCAGCCCAGACCTGCCAAAACAACAATGACAGCTGCAACCAAAAAATACCCGGGCGTTGTGGCGGGCGCCTGTGGTCCCAGCTACTTGGGAGGCAGAGGCAGGAGACTCGCTTGAGCCCAGGAGTTGGAGGTTGCTGTGAGCTGTAATGCCACGGCACTCTACCCAGGGGGACAGCTTAATGCTCTGTCCTCAAAAAAAAAAAAAAGAGTGCTGTGGTCTTAAAGTTCACAGCAATGTCAGACTCTTGGGCTCAAGAGATTCTCTTGGCTCAGCCCCCCAAGTAGCTGAAACTATAGGTGCTCACCACTATGCCTAAGTAGTCTTGCTCTTGCTTAGGTTGGTCTAGAACTCCTGAGCTCAAGTGTTCTACCCTACTCAGCCTTCCAGAGTGCTGGAATTACAGGCATGAGCACCGTGCTCAACCAAGTATTTTATGTGCAGAGAAAAGTACAGAAAATAATTTACAGACCCCCCATTCCTGTCATCAGAAATTTTATACATTAATCTGTGAAAGCTGATTCTCAAATAGAAATGCTAGTGGTGGGTACTTTTGAAAAAGCATGTAGATAATATTAAAGAATACAGTACTGCACCTGATTTATAGAACATTCCTGTTCAGAGTACTTTTACACAATTTACTGAATTTGATTCTTGTGCCAAACGCTTGTTAAAATTACCTCTACCTTATCCCTGAGAGAAGTGAGAAGACCTGGGTTAAATGGTAGGAAATGACCTGCCTCATAATGCAGTCTCTCCTCATAATGCATTTTGGAGGATGCTAATTGATGAAAGAGCATGGCTTTAGATGATCTTGAGAAAAGTAAGGAGAATTTTGTAATTAAAAGGGAGGAGTAATATCTGAACACAAGTAAAGGTGAGCAGCTTTGCAAATGGTATCTCTTGGATATATTTTAGAATGTAAAGGCTAAATTTACCCACTCAAACTCTCACCTATCAGAGAGAACTCTTTGTCCCAATATGGAATATTTTCCTCCAGGCTCTAAAAATCCCGTTCCCCCTGCCTGCCCAGGTGTATCTGAGAACAGCCATTGTGTGCTCTTGAAGGCTTGCCTTTCCAATAAGGTGACCAGACTTCTCGATTTCAGCGGGATAGTCCCGACTTTTACAGTTTGTCCCGCGTCCTGCAGTGTTTTAAAGAAGTCCCCATTTTTGGAAAGAATCCAGGACAAGCTAGGGAACAGCATCGGAGAATGGGAAGGGAATATCTATTCCGGTTTTTGGCTGCTGAAAAGGTTAATGTAACTCCATTTGGGAATGAAGAGGTTAATGTAACCTCATTTGGAAATGAAAAGGCTAATGTAAACTCCCTACTCCC